GCCACAGTGCCACTTCCGGCTTTTTTCTTTTTGCTTATGTGGTGCTGAGGAATCGAACCCAGGGCCTCATGCATGCAAGACAAGCGCTCTACCACTGAGCCACCTTCCCAGCCCTGTGAGACTCTTATCTCCAATAAACCACTAGAAAACTGGAAGTGGCACTGTGGCTCGAGTGATAGATCGCTCACCTGAGCTGAAGAGCTGAGTGATAGTGCCCAGGGCCAGAGTTCAAGCCCTGTGACAAGGAAAAAAAAATTGTCTGCCTAGGCCTGGAGCTCCTGGCCCACGCCTAGCTACTTAGGAAGCTGAGATCTGAGGAACACGGTTTGAAGCCAGCCCAGACAATAATGTCCTAAGACTCTTATCTCCAATGAACTACCAAAAAAAGAAGCCAGAAAGCTACTATCCTTGAGCAAAAAACCTCGTGGAAGAGATGGGAGAGAGGGAATGGGAGAGAATGAGGGAACAGATGAGGGAACACCATGGGAAAAGAAATGTACTTATTTCTGGATGTTTGTAAAGGTAACCCTGCTGTAGATCACCTCTAAAACAACAATAAACTGTAACACACACACACAACACACACCCTAACTCAGGGGCGGTGCCCAGGCCCTAGCCTGGTACCCCAGGACTAGAAAAAATAATCTAGTATTTAAAGCTCTATTCTATGTGGTCCACAGCCACAGCTGGCCCCTGCCCAGAGCCTCCCTGGACACATCTCAGGTTCTCAGTCTGTTTGTGGTTAAGTAGATAATGGACAACATGAGCAGTGCACACCTGGTCTGAGACCACACCCACACTGGATCATCTGTGAGTTGAGAGAGCAGATCAGCAGGGAACAGCCAGCAATCAGCATATACAGCACGTGGCATGTCCATACCTACACACAGTGTGCCAGGGTATTATCTTGGGGGGGGGCACAGAGCCGGGACCTTGATGGTTGGTAATGGGGTGTGGTGAGGGTCTGTGGGTGTGAGACCAGACATTTGCATCACAAAGGTTCTCTGTTGGAATGAAGGCTGAGAGCTTAGCTGACTGCTGTGCAGAAAGCTTCTGGGCCTTTCCATCGCTGTGTCTCCATGGAAATTAGTTTGGGGAGAGAAAGGAGCTATTTTAAGGATGGGAGAGGACAGACCTGGTAGGCTGGGGTGAGGGAAGGTAGCTGTGGGGGAGAGCTTTTCTCAATGACTCACTAATTTCCCTCCTATGAAGGGGGAAAGAAATGGCTTGGAAAGCAACAGAAACCCTGGAGGGAGGCGGAACAGGGCCACGTGTCCTGCTGGAGGCATGAACCGGCAGCAGCTGCCCCCAGGGGCTCGCGGTACGGCCGGTGGATGGCAAGGAGCTGCCGCAATGGATCATCCGTGGTGACAGCCGTGGGCTTTGCACCAGCTGTACAAAATCATGCAGACAAGGGCCAAGAGGGGCGGGTGTGGAACCCGGGGCTGTGGGTCTTCACTCTCAGGGACCAGGGACTGTGGGAGGGGAGATTGTTACGTGAGCTTCCTTACAGAAGAGAGGGAAGGTGAACCACTTAGCTGACCAGGGGCCCAGGGTTGTCAGCAAAGGCGACAAGAGAGAATGTTGGTAGACTCCTTGGAGGATGGCGGTGGACTTCAGAGGCGGGGGTGCAGGGAGGGCTGAGAGCTTAGAAAGAAGAGAATGCAAGTTTTGCTGATTGCAGCTGTTTCTAGTTGTGCCCGCCCACATGCAGAGGCAGGTCCTCAGAGAGGAGCTGTGTTGGACTGTGGAGGAAGTAGGTTGAGTGGCATCTGCTCAGGCAAGGAGAGCTCAGAGTGGAGGGGTAGGGACTACAGGGTGTGCCCACAGTGCTGCTCTCATCCTGAGCGCTCCTGGAAACCTGGAGATGCAGAGCAAGGCTCTGGGTGTCCCTGCGGGGGTGCAGCTGCAGGCACAAGCCAGCAAATCAGTCCCAGCCTGGCAGCTGTCATAGGGTCACAGCCGTCCTCTGCACTGGGGTGCCCTGGGGTCCTCTGCACTGGGGTGCCCTGGGGTCCTCTGCACTGGGGTGCCCTGGGGTCCTCTGCACTGGGGTGCC